TCAGTATATCATGTCTTGTGGTGGTAAAGATGTCTCTCACTATCTCCTCATGGAATCCAGCAGCAGGTCCAGGGAAAAAGAGCAAGTGGTACCAAAGAAGCAACCATCTGCCTGTGCCAACACTTGGCCTCCACAGAAAGAGACTTTAGATGATGCAGTTGGTTGAGAAGTGAGTTAACGGTTTGACTGGGTTTTTATTTCTCTCAACTAACTATGGCACATGTTGGTGCCGTATAGACAGAGCCTGAGCATTTTTACCCTATTTCCACATGCACCAGTACTTATTAAGCATAGAACCTCAGTTCTTCTCAATTTCATGATTGTGTGTATATTTACTAACCACATTTTATAGGAGAATCAGAGCCCCATGTCCTCTACTTGCCACCTTTCTCCTAATATATTTTACACAAGAGCTGAGGAGAGAGACTCAAGTGCAAGTGGAGACATAGAGACATAGGAAGGAAGGCTCAGATGCATTTATAAATCCCATCTTTCCAACTCCTTTGTCTAACGGTGGTGATACAGGCAATTCCAGCTCTTGGAGAATTTCAAAACACTCTTGGTGAGAAATTGATGAGAGAATTCAGGCAACTAAATGTCTCCTTGGTAGCTAGGCAGTCACATTTTACAAAGGGCTAGACTGTCTCTTTGAACACCTGACTATAGGCCACATGATTGTCCGTGGCCAAGGCATTTTTCAGACACTGCCAGAAGTATGGGTGAGCCTGTGGATTTGTTGGCCACTCAAGAACAGAACTCCCACAGAGCCTCTTCCGGAGCTGGAGGAACTTGGATCTCTGAAGAGGTTTCTCAAGGAATATCAAGATAATCACATCCACTTTTTCATCTATGAGCCTCTGATGGGAAAGGTAAAATGCTATCTTGAAGTTCTCAGTCTTTGCATACTTGTTTGTCATCACGAACACAGTCTTTTTGCTCAGCTGTATGCTCTGGGAAAGGTTTTCCAAAACTGGCTGCCCTGGTAACCAGTCCCTTTCCTCAAGACATAAATTAAAATGTTTCTCTCTTGGGTCTTCCAATTTGGCCACCAGCTCGTCCAAAACCCATTCTGTCACGGCTGGATCTTTAGTGTCATACACAATGAAAGCATCATAACAAGAATCCAGTGATATCAGACGCTGATACCCCATTATCTTGGCCTTGCAGAAATAGTAACTATACCACACATCCCAGAAATAGAGGTGGCTTGCTGTCGTAACCACCATCAGAAAGAGAGCCATAGATATGGAAAATGAATACAGAATCAGGTTAGTCAGATCTAACTCACAGGTGTACAGATCCAGGGAGACCACACTCTGGCCCTTATGTGCCCCTGGCCCCACACAAGTCACATCAGTGGCCAGGTAAGGAATAGTGACCTCCGTATGGTTAACCCACCAGACAAACCACACAGCATCACAGGTACACAGAAACCGATTATGGTGCAAAAGCAACGTCTCCAGATTGTTGAGGACGTTTTCTGGAAAGCTAGTCTTTTGGATAATCTGGATTTTATTTGAGCTGAGGTCCAGATGTCGCAACTGAAAAGCATCTTGTAGAAAATACTTTGTCAGTTGCCTGATTTGATTATTATTAAGAATCAGTCTCTTGAGGCTGCTGGAACAGTTGGATAATCTCTCGGGAACAGTCTTCAGCTGGTTTTGGCTGAGGTCCAAAGTTTCCAGATTCTTCAGAAGCTGAAGTCTTTCCCAACTGAAAGACTTGAGCCCATTTTTGACTAAGGAGAGGGTCTTTAAATTTGGAGGCATACCATCAAAAACCTCAGGAGGCAAGAAACTCAGGGAATTTTCAGAGATGTCTAATTCCTCTAAGTTTTGCAGATTCTTGAAGAATTGTAAGTATCTGTTATCACCATCTTTCCAAAAAACATCCAAGTGGTTTCCTCTGAATTCCAGAATTTTAAGAGAACTGCTCTCCATGGTCCTGCTGGAGGAGGTAGAGATGCCATTGTCGTTCATCATCAGTTTCTTCAGAAAACTTAGGTTCTTGGTAAAGTTCAGCATGTGAGTAAGTCCTTCTGATTGGAAATAATGGCCGTTACTACTTATATCCAGAATTTCTAGGTTGCGTAGCTCCTCAAATGCTGTTGAGTAGAGTAAATCAAGTCGGTTGTTAGAAAAGTCCAAATACTTCAACTCCACTAAAGGCTGGAATTCAGTGCCATTAAGAGTTTGGCTAATTGAATTTCCTGACAAGTTTAAGCATTTAAGGAAGGAAAGATGTTGGAAATCAGAGGACTTGACAAAAAATATATTATTCTTACTTAGGTCCAAGGTCTGCCCATACATTTTGCAATTTCCATTAAAGGGCAAAAAAGGAGTCTGATTGTGTTTGAACCTGCAGCTTCTTGCATACTCATCATATCTAAAATAGTGTCCAGCTTCGAGGACCTGGGGTCCATAACTGTCTACAGAAGTTCTCGAGTTAGGGCAGAAGCCAACATCACTTGAGTCTCCTGAAGGTGATATTTTATTCAATGAAAGATCTATGACTTTCAACTTTTCAAATTGTTTAAATATGCTGAGGTCGGCAACTTTTATAAAGTTAGTGCCAAGATCAAGAACTTCAAGATTGGAAAGATTCCGTAAAGGGGAGAGGTTGAGACTATTCAGCTCTTTAAACACGTATCCTTTGATCCGCAAAATTCTCAGATTTTTCAGTGAAGCAAATTCATTTGATAGATTCATATATGCATGATAGACCTGAAGCTCATAATTGAAAGACAGATCCAATTGGACAAGGTTGGGAAGAAAATGCAAAAATTTGGCATCTCCAATTTCTTTGGCCAAGAAGTTTTGGGAAAGGTCTAGTTCCTCAAGTTTTTTAATGTTTTGAAACAATCTTTTAGGCACATGCCTAAGTGAGTTACTATGCAGACGTAAAACTCTTAATTCTATTAACGCATCAAAAGCATTTACGTGGATCTGTAGGGGAGAATTATTTTCACAGGGTGTACAAGGAAATGGGACATTATAACAACGAGGGCAATTTCCACTTAGGTCAAGAAGTTGCAGTTGGTTGAGGTTATCAAAATCATGTTCTTGGATTTTTGTGATGATGTTGTTGTAAAGATAGAGTTCAGTTAAAGAAGATGGCAAAACAGTGGGAACAGCTGAGATATTGTTATCTTTTAGGGACAGCACTTTCAAATTCTTCAGGCTTAGGAAGGCATCTTTTTCAATTGAAAATGAAACATTACAAGGATTGCGATAATAACAATTTTGGCCCAGGTAGAGTATTTCTATGTTGGCCAGTTCCGTTATATTCTCTTTCATTATGGAAAAGATGGTGTTGGCCTCAAGGCTCAGCAGCTTTAAGCTGGCAGGAAGACCTTGAGGTATCTCCAGAAGCTGGTTTCCATCTAGATAAAGGGCTTGTAAAGAAGTAAGTCTACTAAAGCTTCTGGGCTTAATCTGCAGCCTCTCACTGCAAATGTTGTCTTTCGGCCCCAGTCGAATAGGTACACAGTTGCATCTGAAATCAATTTCTATCAGATGTTCCAGCCTGCGGAAGGAGGCTGGGGAGATGGCTGGTATGTGGTTAATGGTGAGGGTGAGGTTGGTGGCATTGGTGGGAATACCTCCAGGGATTTCCATCAGATGCTTATCTGTGCAGTCCACGATCACATGAGCCTTTGGAACATCCACCGTGACATCACAGGGCAGAGTTTTAGGAAACCATATAGCCCCAAGGAGTTTGGAAATTAGGATCACATTCAAAAGGATAAGAAATAGTCTATTCTGAGCGCACATCCGCAACACCTGAAAGGACAAGAAAGAACAAATTATGATTCTGAAGTATCCCACAAATCAGAGTTGAACATTCTCATTTGCTGCCTCTCTTTTGCTACATTTTAAAATAAGCAGTTTAGGTATTGTTCTCAACTGTCTACACAGCACCCCTACCTCATGACTGTATTTGTCAATTACTGAGGTTTGCAATAATTCAGTTACATATTTAGCTTTTAGCATCTTAGCTTTTAAGGCAGTGACATAGTTTTTAAGGTGGTAGAAGCAGCATTTTCCTATTGTTACTTACAATGCTACAATGGAAGAGCCATTGCTTGGCTGCTAAAGTCAGAAATTTGCGGGGTTAAGGAAGGTTAAAATACAAATACGCTTGGGAAGAATAACACATTAAAACTTCAGTACAACTGATATTTGCTTGCTAAGCCTTCCCTGGTACACATTACAAGTCTTTCAGAATATTCAAGCCTCATGATATTCTAAGCAGCAAGATAAAGGAGACCCCTTGTCTCCATTTTACAGATGAAGACATAGCTCAGCAAAATTAGCTGATTTGCTGAAGGTCACCCAACTAATAAATGACATTTGATTATCAAAGATACACTCCTGCTACTTTGACACTGCCATTCTATCAGCTAGCTCTCCTCTTGGATTGTTTTTGGAAATCATCCCCAAGATGACTTCAACATGAGCATTCTCCCTGCACAATCAGTTCACATTGTAAGTGCATTTGGAGAGGAGAGAGTGAGTCAGGGCACTGCCTGGGTGACCTGCAATCAGGGCAACCATATAACTGATCCAACAGGATACTTCTGAGAGTGAAAGGTGGGGGAGCTGTTAATAATTATGCCCAGACTGCGGGCGTAAACCGAGACTCTATCAGGCAAAGTAAGATGTATGGGCATCTACCCATAACGGTGATCGCTGGGCATCCAGGGTTAGCACGAGAGACACTGGGACCCTGGGGAGAAAGATCTTACAAGGGAATATGGGAAGCACTGAAGATCTTTGCTAGTATCACCATCTTACCTTGAAACACTTGAGCTTTTTGCCTACCATAGAGGGTGGTTTAAACACAGACTTGCTCTCCAGTCTCAGGCTTTCCATCAATATTTTACTCCAGAACACTGTTTTTAGTTTAACTGGTGCTTATAAATAGAATGATACAGCTTGTGTCTCTACGGCAGGCTTCTGGCTTGGCTGATGTTTTTGTCCTCCCAATTGACTGAGTCAACCAATCATGTTGGTATCTAATACACTAAATTCTTACTTCTCTTAATCCTTCTAATAGAACAGAAATAAGCAAAATTTCCCTAGGTTTTCTTTTTCTCTAGTGCAAGATAGCTCAGAATGATCTCAAAGTGCTTATTCACACATCTTTACATGCCTAAAGTTTGTTGGAGTCGGAGGGACAAAATTGTCTTTCTTTTTCACTTTCACTACTGTTTCTTCCTCCCCATCATTAAAACCATTCACTGAGTCTAGTTGACCTCCCTCATTGTCCTTCTTGACATCCTGTCTGCTTTGCCATTTTAGCTGACACAATCCCATTTGAGACCTTGTTCCTCCAACCTTGGCCCACTCCAAAGCCTCACCCTTTCTCTCCAATCCATCCTATATATCAAGCATCCCAAACACTCATCAGTCATTACCTTACTCTGAAATTTTTTAAATGGTTTCCATTTTCTTTTTCAAAATCTGTCACAGGATGAATCTAAACTTTTGTATCATGGCATTCAAAATCTTCCATAATTTATCTCCTCTCTACTTGTCTAGGCTTACCTGGTATAACTCCCCTACCAGCTTTTCTAATCACTAGACCCAAATCCAGCTTGCCATTCCCTGACTTGCAAGTCCGTACACTTCGAATACTCTTCCCATCATCTCCACCCATCAGAACTCTAGATATCTTTTAAGGCTATCCTTCATAAACTGAATTACTCAGATTCCCAGGACAGATTTTGGAAAAATATTCACCACTCAAGGAGGAGGGGTTGAAGGGAAGGGCTGCAGAGGCGGAAAAGGAGTGAAGTAGAGTGAGTTATTTGTATGGTTCCTGATAATAGAATCCCAGACCCTGGACCCCACTCCCAGCTATGCTTCTGTCAGAAGACATGATGGGTTCACAGATCCCACTATCAGAAGGCAATAGGGAATGCTGCTAACAGTGATATTGTGGACCAGGGAGGCGAGTTATATCTCACAGGGCACCAACATGGAGAAAGGACAATCATGAGCCAGGTGTCCTCTTCCCATCCTATTCCCGTGAACCTAGATGAGATCCTGGGAAGAAGTGGGAGGATCCCTGAATTAACTGAGTTTTCCAGGAGATGCCTAGTTTAAGTAGTTTTGATGAGGAAAGTTCCATTATAGAAAAATAAAATCACACTTAACCAGTGGTGTGATGGTAAATGTTTAACAACTGGCTTTCCTCCTTCCCTCCCCAACAGCCCTGATTTTTAAGTCCTAATCTGTAGCGTTTGCCAATTTCCATAGTGTAAATACTCCCACTGCAGCCAATTTTGAGCTACCAGTGTGATGTCACTGAGTGCAGAGCTGGGAAGAGACATGCAGAATTGCTCTCATGAGCCTGTATGAACAAGATCTGGGACACCACTGACGTAAACAAACCTGAGACAATGACTGGGAAAGTTTTAGCCTCTACACACTGACAAATTGTAAAATAGAGAGCAAAATTAATCAGAAGGCCTTTGGTTTTCTTCTTTCTCAAATTTTTCTTGCACCTGTCGGTTTTTTTGTTCCTCAGTACAACCACCTCCCTAGTCCAAACAGCCATCAGGTCTCACACGGACTCCTGCAATAGATTCCTAACTGGCCTCCCTGACTGCTCTTCTCTACAATTCACTCATTAAACGGCATCAGAAAATTCTTTATAAACATGAATCAGATCAACCACAATGGCTTCCTATTACACTTTGGATGGAATCCAAAGTCTTCATCATTGCTTAAAATATCGTGCGTGTTCTGACTCTAACCCACCTCTCTGGCCTTGAACCATCTTTCCCCTCTTTAGCCACACGAGCCACCTGGCCTGCTTTCTGTTCTGCATCTGAGCCATGCTTGCAACCACCTCAGTCTTCACGCTTGCTCTTGCTTCTTGCTGACAATACCGTCCCTCTCCTCTTCCCATGGCCAGATCAGCCTCATCCCTTAGGTGTCGCACCAACTTATCTCAATATGCCCCCAAGTGATAGTAGCAATAACAGTAGCGATATCAGTTAATGTACGTAGTACTTACAATATGCCAGACATTATTTTAAATGCTTTGCATATATTAATTCATGTAATTCTCACAATAACCCCATGAGGGAGTTATTACAGGTCCTCAATTCTTTATCCAAAATCTCTAGGGCTAGAGATGTTTTAGAATTCCGAATTTTTCAGATGTTAGAAGGTAGTAGTATGCATGTACCCTATATTATGTCATACGCCTTTTAGGACCTGGGGTGGCATCCGAGAATCAAACACACAAACATTTCTGCATTGAGACACAGCATTGTTTGCTGTGAGCAGAATTAAAAAACAAAGCAGAACAGCAACAACGAAAACCTGTCTTATTCAGTTTTGGTCAAAGTTCACCTCCAAATGACTTCAGACCATGTAGTGTTTTTAAGACCAAGCTTTCAGTTTGGGGATTTTGGAACTGCAGCCTTCTATTATTGTTTCCATTTTACAGATGAGTCAACTGAGGCACAGGGAGGTATATGTACTACTGTTACACCACCTTGCTTTATTCTTTCATTGCCCTTAGAACACTCAGAAATTATCTTGCTGATTTATGTGCTTATTTGTTTATTGTCTGTTCTGCACCAGAATGTAAGCTCCAAGAGAGCAGGGCCTTGTGTGTTCTCATATAAAACCATGCCTGGCACTTAGTAGGTGCTCTATTATGTTTGCTAAATACATGAATGAAAGAAGGAATGCATGAAGGAATGAACAAGTGAAGTAAAGCACAAGACTTAAAGAAATTTCTTCTTGGAGTAGGTTTCTTCAGGCTATACCCCCGGACTCCTCAGGGGTCATGTTCTGAAAATCTTCTATCTGCCCAGACATTCCCTGGGGAAAAGTAAACCACAGCCTCCACCAGCCTAAGTCCAGCACAACTAGTTGGTGCCTGGCTACCACCACTGACTGTTCTGACAGGGATCACAACAGAGGGTTCTGGACAAGAGCTGGAGAAAAATGTAGAACAAAATTCAAATTCACAAAGAAAAGACCAGGCTTACTGGTCTGACAGAGACTGGAGATACCCTGAGAGTATGGCCCCTGGACACTCTGCTAACTCTGAACTGAAGCCACTCCCAAAGTCCACCTTTCAGCCAAAGATTAGGCAGGCCTATAAAACAAACAATAACGCACGCGAGGAACATGCTTCTTAGTTCAATCAAGTCTATGAGACCAAATGGGTAACACCTGCCCGAAAGCAAAGACAAGAAGGCAGGAAGGGACAGGAAAACTGGACGAATGGACACGGGGAACCCGAGGTGGAAAGGGGGAGAATGCTGATATATTGCAGGGATTGCAACCAATGTCACAAAACAATTTGTGTATAAATTTTTTGAATGAGAAAACTAATTTGCACTGTAAACTTTCACCTAAAACACAATAAAATTTTTTTTAAAAAAAGCAATGTGGAAAGGCCATTAGTTCTTTCAGCACAAGATGCTGACATCTGTATATATTTATACATAATTAGGTTAACTGTATGTTGTTCTTATTCCATGGGGTATTTTCTGATCCTCCCAATTAATTATTTTTATTATACTCATAGAGTCCAGAGATTGCTATATGTCTCCCAGTATCTTTTCCCCTTTCTCTCATCTCATAGTGATAGAACCTCCGTTTGTAGCTGGGCATATGTCACTCTGAAAAAAGACTACATTTCCCAGACATACCTGCAGCTAAGTAAGTGTGGCCATGTGGCTAAGTTCTAGCCAATGTGATGTGAGAAGAAGTGTTGTGTGTAATTTTGGGGAAATGTCCTTAAAGGGAGG